TTTGCATGAGAATCAGTGCCTACATTCTTCCCTATTTGACCTGTGCAGGGATGGTCTTAAAAAAAAAAAAGTATCAAAATAAAACCACAAGCAATCTCTTGGCACAAGTAATCTTCAAGATTTATTTATAATACTTGTGCACAGTAAAGGCAAACAATTCAGCATTTTTTTAATAATAAAGATCTGATGTATAACACATCTGAATTGACACCTTGTATTAGAAGTATTGTATACCTTTTGCATAGTAATAAGGTCTAAACTTTGGTATAAAACAATAATGTAAATTCATTTCCATTGTGTTATAACATATTTTTGAAAATTCGACTGAAATGAGGAATCCCTCTGAGAGCTAGTGGCTGAACTGAATTCTCATCACAATATCTTATATACCCTATTTCTGTATTCACTGCTGAAAGCAGTACAGATCAAATTGTTTTACTCATTTTCATATAGGAAAAAAACTCACAGAAGAAATAGAAAATTACTGTAAATTTTTTTAAAGACAAAATAGATTCATTGTCAGAGAATGCAAAGCAAAAGAATAGTCCATCTGAAAACTATCTTAAATGGAATGGAAAAACCCATTTCATAATACAACATTGTATCATTACAAATATATCCCAGAATAGGCAAGGTAGGATGAAATAAGGCTGCTTTTTATGTTTTTCCACAGTAAAGAAGCATCTCTCAAGCATGGCAAATGCTTTTGTAATTAACAACTGCAATTTCAGGTAGGAATCTGTTTTCCCATGATCTAGGTGCAGAAACGCTACCTTAGTACACACAAACTCTTCCTTTCTAGCAGGAAGACTGAAAACACTCCATAGAAGTATTCAAAGACTTAATATTACAATATTAGATTTGCCCCCCCCCCCTCAATCCATTGCTGACTGCATTACCAGTACTTAACCATTAGCTTTCTGGTTCACTGGCTGCACAGGAAAGTACTGTGGTACTTTGTGATAGAAACCTGAAGCTCTGTTAACTGTGCAGCATGAAAAAACCAAAAAAGTATTTTCAATCAAGTAAATGTGGGTAGAGACCAGCTTGTATAAATGTAAGTGTGTTTAAATTTGGTGTTTGGTCTTTGCATAGTGAAACTTTACCATACTAACGGTAAAACTGCTATGAAATGATTCATATGATCACAACAAAAGGAATGTAAGAAACTAATGGGAAAAAAAAAAGAAATTTAAACCAAACTGCTCATGATTAAAGATTGGTCCTTATTATTGAAACACATGAAATAAACCATCCCAGGAAAACTGAAACATTAGTCTTATAACTGAAGACAGTAACTGGACAGAATAGATGTTAAGAAAACAATTTAATGTAATGAGAGCTTTAAGAAAGAAAACAGCAGCCACTTCTTTGTGAAAAAAAAGAAAGCTAAGTGTATGAAACAGTTAATACTCTGGATGTGTCAACAGTTACTCAAAATTAGCATGAATTTTACATTCTGTTAGGGCTTACAAAATGCTATTCATGGTAGTTAAACATAAAACAAAAGCCAACAGCTGCTTGCCTGCCAGATGAATAGATACAAGATACCCAAGCCTGCAGCATTTAGCTTAACACAGAAAATGACCTTACATGCATACATCACATTAAGTTCTATAGTTTGTAGTTCTGTACAGAAAACCAGCTCTGAAGCAGCAGTTCAGCAGAAAGTGAGCATAGGCACATAAAAGTACACAACACACAAGCCTTCCAGACTCTCAAGGGAATTCATAAGGTTTCCGCAAGACAGAGATTTATTGCCCATTTACAAAGAACAAATGATTACAAGACAAATATAATAATTAAACATACAAGCTCTGGAATTGTACAAAGATACTCATTTCTTGTTGTTGAGATGGATTGTTAAAAACAGCAGTGCTAGCCGAAAGGACCTTTGCAAAGATGGAATGTAATCTCCTGCAGTTACAAGGGGACGTGACTAAACAGGTAAGACACAGATTCACCATTGTGTGTTCTTCGAATTGCCTCAGCCAGGATCATGGAAATGTCAATAAACTGGAAGAAAAATCAGGACGATAAATTTTATGGGATGCAAAAACCCACCAACTATATAGTTAACCATATGAACAAACATTAAATTCACCATTTGTGTTCTCTTACCTCTTCTAGGAAGTAAAAGAACATTAAAGCATTAGGTACTTAACATGTACTTAAGAACTGCGTTAATACAAAGTACAAATTCAAAAATTGAGTAAGAAAGCATTGAAAAACACTGCTGCACAGGCATACTACTGAAGATTTCAGGCACAGGGCATGTTGTCAAAAAGAAACTATTCTAGCCATCAGATGGCAGTGTCCACTTAACACAAATACAGTTTAAGGGAAGCATACCTTTTTAAGTGCTTGCCTCGTTTCAATAAATTCTAAATAAATTCTAAGATATTTAAAAATTCAATGTTGCATTTAAAACCCCAATCTTTTATGCTTTCCTCCACTCTATACCAAGGAAAAACTCCAAAAGGGACATATCACTTCGAGGACAATCTCATGTAAAAGCTACTGACATGAGTCAGCTTTGTATTTTCAGTTTGGTTTTTGAAAAGAAACGTCATTATCTTGAGCATTTCCACTACTGTATTTCCAAAAAAAAAAAAAAGTCATCATCAAAGGCTTCTGTGACATCCACAGCAACATAACTAAAAGTTCCTATATACAAATATAGTACTATTAATACTGATCAAAAAAAACCCAAACTCCAAAACCCAGCCAATTTTACATTTGCCACTCTTTCAGAGTCAGGCATACTCAATGTGTTGCAAATATCAAATATTTTGCAGTACTCTGTAGTACTATCCAAATCCCTTAAAACAGTTCTTTGGCATGTTTTAGCAAGATGCTCTGCAAACAGCATATTTTAGAATATAATTTCCCTATCAAGGCACAAATTCTAGCATCAATGAACAGTAAAATACAAATCCAGAGTTTAAACAGATGACAAAAACACCACTGTACCTGAATTTTTGGGCAGTGTTTCATTTTCTCTTCTTGGGGGATTGTATTAGTTACCACAACAGCCTCAAACGATGCATTATTAATCCGAGAAATAGCAGGACCAGAAAAGATGCCATGAGTAAGAATGGCATAAACTTTAGTAGCTCCAGCAGACACTAACCTGTAGAACATGAAGGAAAAGTATGCTGTAATAGGTGTTTACATACATGCCTATAGATGAAGCCAGATACAAATCTCTGTAAAGTACATTTTACACACAAATTCCTCCTGGAAGCTACAGGAAGATACAAATATATAAAAAATAATTCAGAGAATTTTAAACTTTTTCAGGATTGTGAGACAAATAAGTCTCACAAAAAACCCCAAACCTGCTAATTAAATAAAAAGGTTCTTATCAGTAGCAGTGATGCTAATCTAAAATGCTGCACTTCTGATCATATCAGCACAACATACCACTGAGTTCCAGTACAAGTTTTGTGTCTTAATCAGGCAAAAGTGAAGTAGGTTGGATGGCAGTATTCACAACTCTATTGTGCCTCCATTGTTGTCCACCTTCATTTTCACTTGCAATTCAAACAATTCTGCTTGGAAACAGTTTCTGAGGAAGAAGTGTTATTGATCAAAAGCCTAGCTTACTGCAAGGTTGTGAGAAGATACGCTGCTGATCCAAGCACGCAGTGAAACGACATGGCACAGGAGGAAAAAAAAAAGTACTTATCAAAGAACTGGAACACCCTGTGAATGAGTCAGAATTTCTTAATTTCCTTTTGTCTGGCCTCTCTGCCTCCAGATGCTCAGCTGTGTCCTAGCTGCTTTACAAAGAGAGGTCCTGAAGAGTCGTAGCTGATCAGATCATAGCATAAGCACAGTAAGACAGGAAAAAAGACAAAACCACAGAAACTTCATCTCCTTTTGAATAACTCAATAGAATCAGCATTATGTTTAGTAGCTGCAACCTACAAGGAGGATGCACTACGACAGGGTGAGTGTGTACCAGGGGTGTGTACTTAAGTTTATACTTAAGCAAGTTGATCCACTGTGTCTGAAAATACATTCCTTAGTTCATCTCCTCATCTAGGTTGCTGAGATAAGAAGTTCTAAAGTATTTTGGTGAGCAAGTGTAATTAAGCAAAGTACACCTCACCTAGATTTGGCATTAATGAAAAGCATGACTTCCTTCCAAGAACATAAGGCAGCATCACTCAAGCAAAAACATCTTTCTTAGTGAACACTGCAGACACATTGAAGGTTTCTGATGGTTTTAGAATTTTCTCTGTGTTTACCTACAGTAGTTTGCTGAAGAAGTGCTTTTTTCATAAAAGGAAAGAAATAAAGGACTACTTTGACAGGCATTAACTTCCTCTACGCACAGGAGTAGTAATAACAAAAAGTCATTGGCTATGCAATTTGTGATTTTGATCTGCAAACAGCACAGGCCGGAAGCATGCTTTGAAGTCTGATGCAATTTAGTATGCAGATAGCAAACAACTGCACAACATCTCTGCAAAATTCCATCAAATTTCCACCAAAGTGAAAAGTAACACAAGGCTATATGAATCCCTCTACTACAAGATTCTGACATCTTTTTTTATCTAGTTGCAAAGAACGAGCCTGCAACTAAAGACTGTAAACTCATGGGATGATCTTTACTTCAAACCACCAACAGTAATCTCACTTAAGCTTAATTAAGAGGAAGCAGCCTCAAGTTGCACCAGGGGAGGTTTAGATTGGATATAAGGAATAATTTCTTCACCAAAAGGGTTGTCAAGCATTGGAACAGGGAAGTGGTGGAGTCACCATCCCTGAAGGTGATGTAAGATGTGGCACTTAGGGACATGGTCTAGTGGTGGACTTGGCAATGTTAGGTTAATGGTTGGACTCAATGATCTTAAAGGTCCTTTCCAACCTAAATGATTCCATGATTCAAATACAGTCAGGCAGTAAGTACCACATGGACCTGTTTTGGATGCAAGTCTATTTGATAATCTCATAATGTCTACAAATATATTGGACAGGAATATATATTCAAAACACTCTCAACTGAGACATACTTAGCTTTAGAAAGGATTACATCCAAGACTAGCAATGCTACAGTAAATGTTCAGCAATTTAAAACATTCACGTGCCTTGCACCTCAGCAGTTCCTTCCCACTTCCAATGTGCACTATTGACAATCATATGAGGGTGGGCTTTGCTATAACAATATCAAAAATACAAGAACTCCCTACGCTCCCTATACTCTTTACCAGGGAGTATAGTGATAGGATGAGGGGCAATGTTTTCAAACTGAAAGAGCATAGATTTAGATTAGATATTGGGAAGAAATTCTTTACTGTGAGGGTGGTGAGACACTGGAAGAGGTTGCCCAGAGAAACTGTGGATGGCCCCTTGTGAAGGAGGGTCTGATTTTTTTGCCTTCAACAACCTGTTTTGCAGATTTTATATGTGTCTTGAACAAACCTGTTTTACAGTGCAAGTTTTATATATTAGCCCTAAAACCAGCCTGCTTTGCAGTACAGCCTGCTCCAGGGAGGGAACAAGCCCTGCAAAGGTGGAGTGGTGCTCCCTCCTCAGAGATAAGAGGTTGAAGCAGTGCTCCCTCCTCGGAGACAGGAGGGTGGAGCAGTGTTCTCCTTCAGAAACTTTAGCTGGGGAGATCGATGAAGGGGGACTTCAGCTGGAGTAAGCTACCCAACATCCCCTATCCAAACAAACAAGCTCTGCAGAAGAGGGGTGTTTCTGGACTTGGGGATGCCCACTCCCTTATCTACAGGTGTACACTGAATGTGAGGAGGCCCACTCCCTTGTCTATAGTGGACAGAATCCCCTTGGAACCCTCAAAATATTCCATACTGCACCTGCGTCCTAATTATCATGAAAAGCGAGAAGAGGAGGTGATAATGTGAACAGAACTCATGAATATGAATGGAAAGGAACAATAAAAATACCAATAATCAAGACACAGGCGTGCACCCACCACTGAAGAACCAAAGATCAGGCCGGACCTGAGAGATGTCGCTGGACCCCAGGAATGGTGATATTTCTTTCTTTTTTTTTTTTTTTCCTTTTTTTTTTTTTTATTTTTTGTTGTTGTTTTGTTTTGGTTTTGGTTGTTTTTTTTTTTTTTTTTCTTCTCTTTCCATATTATTAGATAGAAATAGGGAAAGCCATACCTTTATCCAATCTGTGAAATATTATTGCTGCAAATCTACTGGCCAAAGAGGGTTATTAACTCGCTAGCTTTGCCAAGCAAAGGGTGTCTGCTATGCAACGCAAAACCCCGTTTAAAAGAGAGGATACAAAAGAGTCACCTACCTCAAAACCCACCAAGTGGGACAAGACACCCCTCCCTGAAAGCGTTCAAGGCCAGATTGGATGGGGCTCTGAACAACCTGGTCTAGTGGAAGGTGTCCCTGCCCTTGGCAGGGGGGTTGGACTAGATGATCTTTAAGTTCCCTTCCAACCCAAACCATTCTGTGATTCTATGACCTTTGAATGGAAGATTTAAAGCCTCAGGACTTGGGCAAAGTTTAGATTGCAGCCCTTGACCTCCCTTTCAGTGGAAAGGCTGAACAAACTGAAGTTACTTAGTCTAGACGGGAATGAACACTCTTCAACAAACTTCCAGACAAAAGACATCTCCAGCTGAAAAGGACAAGTAGTTTTATACTGAAGGTGTACATTAAAGATTAGTATTAAACATGCATTGAACAGTGGGGAGAAAATACTTTCCAGTGTTAAATCTAGCAAAGCTTTGTGAAAGATTGTCTAGAGAGTGGAACAGTTCCATGACGAGGCTTAAGAGAATGATTTTCTATCTATTGTTTCTGCCTTGGAACTTAAAAATGCACTAGATGGTCCAAGTCCATTCCAAGTTATATAATGTTTTATTTATTCTGTCCTCCTTCTAAATACAGATAATATATTCCTGTAAACATTTTTCTCAATTCTGTGTTCTAAAGAAGGATACAGCTTGATCACAGGACTGTGACCTATAGACACAAGGATCAGAGTGACTTCATGCTACAGAGGTCAGGTTGGGCTAAAAGCATGCAGGACACAGCAACTGCGTTCATCAGCTACCTGCAGGTTACAGTACAGCGAGATAATTTACAATAATACTTACTTGTCTGCTGCATGACATATTGTGCCACATGTGTCAGCCATATCATCGACAAGAATTGCTACTCTGTCTTTCACGTCACCGACCAAGACCATTCTGTCCACTTCATTTGCCTTCTTTCTTTCCTTATGAATGAGAGCAAATTCCACATTCAGTCTATCAGCAATTGACGTAACCCTAAGTTACAGGAAGGAATACATCACATTTAGAGCATTATTTTAAAAGAAAGAGCCATACATGTGTATTTGTCATAAAACTCAGTTTTTGTTTCCTGGCTTTCAAATTACTGCAGCACAAACTCCTGCAAGTAATGAGACACGCTAGAAACAATCTTAATTCACTGCTAATAAATATAACCAGGGAGTCATAAACTGATTTTTTAAATTAAATTGAATTTGGTTTTCTGTCATTAAGTGGCTGGCTTTCAAAACAAATCAGCTGTTCACAAGCTTTTATTAAGCTGCTGCAATACCTGGTCACACTAGATAATTTAAAGTAGAGGCAACCTCAATTCTAAGCCTACAGCCGCATGCAGTTTAACATCTTAACTGAAAATACCATTGCAGGAATGTGAAACGAAACCAAAGGTAAAAACCAGTAATGTTTGTGATTAATAATTCTTTTAGCAGTACTTGATTAGTAATCAAGTAGCCTACTGCATTAGTAATTCCCTTAGCAATACATCTGCTTGACAAAGACCTTTTAAAACTATTCAGGGTGACCTCTGGTGGCCAGACAAACTTCCAATAACAACTTCATTTGTTACAGACTTCTGATTGCTTTTTTTTCAGAGCTGGTAGGCATAAAGACACAGGAATAAACAATACTATTAGCTTATTCTATGCTGGTGCAAAAACTTGTAGCCTGTCTTTTCAGAATACGTATAGGATGTTGCTAATAAGGTTACTAATCTGCACAGTTAATAAAGTACACAGTTTTCTTTCTTTACCACTGAAATATGAAGGAGTTGTTAGTTACTGTATTTCAACAACAGGGTGATAAACAAAAAACTCAAATGTTTTGGCATGTTTGGTGAACAATAGTGTAATTTCATAGCAAGTCTCAATACCTCAGAAGCATTAAGATACCAATAGAATTTGCATTCCTTATTTCAGTCACAAAATTTAATAACCCAGGGAAAACCCAAACAAATCTTAAGGAGAAAAAAAAAAAAAAAAAAGAATTCATCTATTTTAAATCAGTGTGAGAGCAAGTATTTATTTAAAAAAAAAATTCTTTAATGCTTACAGATTTAAATTTTAAGACAAATTTTCTTCACATTCTATTCACTTTTCATTAACCCAAGTATTGTTTTGAAGGGCTACATGTTTTACATGGAAAGGCTGAAGCATTTTCTTTACATTACATTACTGGAGGTGAAGGAGAAGTTGTGAATTTATTGAAAGTAACATCTTCCCCTACTTCACCAGCAACAGCTTGGTTGCATTATGACAGAAAGGTACCAAAGATAGATTCTAACTATGTTAAATACAGTGAGAGTGGTCCTCAAAAAAAAAATAAACTCTTATGGTCAACTTGACAGTATACATATATTTGGTAGGAGAAAACATGCTGTCTTTTAACTTGAATTCTAAGCAAAGGATGTATTTTGTTAAGAAAAAACACAACCAACCAACCAAAAAACCCAAACCAAACCCATAAACAAAAACCACTGTGAAAACAACAGTAACCAGATAGGAATGAATGAAGAAATTTAATTGATACAGTCATCTGAATTTTAGAATGCTTTCTATAGTTTATACTCTTCACATCTTCAACCCGATTAATCTAAACAGGTACAACTATGGAATTCTAATCTGTCTGATTTCCTTACTAATTATTACAGTATGAACACTCACGACAGACCCAAGGACTTCAATTAAATCAAATTATGACAGTCTTTCACATTTTTCCCCATTCTACATTCCAAAGATTTTAATTACTACTGCCTCATAGGATTCTTACTTTATTTCTCTTTGTTCCCACTCAGTTGTGTAGCAGCATTACAACCAATAAAACTTGAGAATAACCATTTCATCTCAATAGCGTGCTTTATCACCTCACCAGCCGGCGTGCTTCTGAGATTTCGCATTAGTGTATACTTGACAGATACCAAATAAAAGATAGTCTGCTAAATGAGCAATGCATGCTGCGAATGAAGAAACAGTCCAGTGAACTAACTTTTCTATTTTCACCTTTTGCCACTTAAAACAAATCTTCATTCCCTTTTTCTAGTATTCACAGTGCACAACTTGGGGTCAATAGGTTTACAGCTGGAAAGCAATAATGTAAAGAAAAAAAGAAACATGACTCAAGCAAGCTCTTACCTAAATGCCAGCAGGCACAGTGGGGATAGGCCATATGCTTTGACAGAGAAGGGAAACTTAGGCAATTCCAGAGCGAAGCAGGAAGAGGTACAGCAACTGGACTAAAGAAGCAAGCAGCAGGAAAAATCTCTTCCCTCCTGCGGAGGGATTCAGCTAATGAGGCCATATCCAGGGAGAGAGAAAAAGATTTTCTTTAGAGTATAGAAAGCTTCTGGATGGTCTCAAGCATGAATAACACTGGAAGAACTAGTTTTTCTGTTTTTACAATGCAGTCGGATTCATCAGTGATGTACCTTATGCCTTGCACAATCCATAGAGGAAAAAAGACAACTAGATAAACTAGTTCATCAACCACTAACTATATGGAAAACTAATAATTTTAGGCTTGTATAGTACCTTTTTGCACCACCTGCATCAGGTGAGACTATGATACAGTTTCTCCACTCCAAAATGTTCTCTTTAATCCACTGCAGCACCGCAGGTTCTGCATACAGGTTATCTACTGGAATGTCAAAGAAACCCTAGTCCGAAAGAGAAAGAGAGTTTCATGAATATATGTTGATGTCTTACCTGAAACGAAGACACAGGGAAAGAATCAAGCCTTTGCCTTTCGTGTATGGTAGAACTTGAATTAGTATTTTACACTGGCCTAATTCTGACCTCTGATAAAATTAGACAAATATTAAGGTCTCTAAAATTCTCGCCCAAGAGTAGTGAAATAAAGAACAGCTGTTCTCAAATGATATAAAAAAAATCAGAAAAGAAGATCACCTTCAGGCACACAAGTAAATTCATGCTTGTGAAAAACTATCAAAAAAATCCAGTGAGTAATACTCAACTTCCATAGATTTCAACTGCTTGACACGAACAGTAGTATTTCAATATGGGGAAGATTCAAGTTAGTATCACTTGAGCAGCAGAAATGGAATCTTTCTTTTTTGTGCAAGTTGTAATGACAAGAAATTTGTGTTAGACCACAAATGAAATTGCTTTTTATTTGCATGACAGTGATGCAGCAGAATAGGAAATTCTGATTAAACAGAATACCAGAATGGGAAGAGAAGGTATTTTCTAGAAAAAAACAAGGTATCTTGAAAAGAGGTACACATAAGAATGACAAAAGACGTTCGCTCTGTGTCTGAGGAAAGAGTTTTGTGATTTGCTGGATCCAGCAGCAAGCCAGCTAAGGGTTGCCAGCCTCCATCTCCACTTCTCTTAAGAGAATATTGTTCCCTTGGCTGTAATGACAAAACTCTATCTAGGCCAATACTATAATCTCTGACCAGGCCAAGATAAAGAGAACTCGCCCTAAACCGGTATATTTTATGTTCTGGGAGCTCTTACACTAGACTTGGAAAATTCCACTGAAGACTCCAATGCACAAATATCCAAAGTGCCTGCAAAATCACTCCATAAAATCAAGGCTGGTAACTTTCAAAAAAGGGAATTTAATTAGAAACAGGTAGTGAGACTTTCTCTGTACCCTGAGAATTACACTTCTGTACATCGCCTTTCAAAACAACGAGAAAACACAGAGAATTTATATTAGCCTTTCACATTATTTGGTAGAGCCCCTAGCCACAACTAGTAAGAACTGATAGTTACCTGGATCTGAGAAGCATGCAAGTCCATGGTGATGATGTGGTCAGCCCCTGCAACCGACAGCATGTTGGCAACAAGTTTTGCGGAGATTGGAGCACGACTCTAAGAAATAAAGCACAAATGTTTACATTTTTAAAAGATTTTGACTAGATGCAGGGAGTCAGAAGACTAGCTACTTTTATTGATTTTTCCTTTAGAATACTTAGAATTTAGACATGAAGAGCTCCAGAACTTTAGCCAAACTAGCCTGTCAATAGCTTATCTTGCTACCAGGGTTTTAAAACTCAGAAAAACATTTAGGAATATCTAAATCAGTTTGCACAATCTGCCTAATAATGCTTTGTAGTAATTAGTCTGACTAACAAGCAGATAAAATTAGGGATACAATTTTCCAATTCTTCTGTTTAAAACTTTCAGCTAGCTTTTCTACAGCAGAAAGACCAACAATCTCCATTCCTCTAAGCCACTACCCTACATTAACACCCAACTCTCAAGCAACTATCCTGTTCTAAAAACACTGCAAAAACAAAGCTTGAAGGCAGAGTGAACCCAACTTTTGTAAACATTGCTTTAAAACCAAGTTGGTATCAAGCATTTCTTCATGATAGACTAAAGCTTGTAACAGATCCTTGTTGTCATGAGTCTTCTACCTCAGCCTATTTATTTATTCTTTTTTTGCTAATTCAGGCTTAATTGTTGGATGCAATTAGGAGTCTAGAATTCCCAAAAGGGACAGTGGGGATGAAAAAAAACAGAGAAGTGGAAAGAACAAGAGAAGAGCAAAAATCTAATTAGCAAAGTTAATGCCAATGTCAACAGCATTTTAAAAGTGTCAAGAATGCAGAACAGCAACACAAAAAAGAAAAGATGGAAAATAACGACTGGAAGATACTTCAGTGGTTTTTTTGAGCAACTAAATTTTTTTCAGTTTTTTTTTAAGCTCTGAAAAAAGCTATGTTTCCCTAGACAGCTTTCTCTGTGACAGAAATACCAACCAAAACCTCCTGTTTTCTTTTCGCCAATCTTTAAATAAGGCTACTAGCTGGCAATAACATCAGCATAAAAGCAGAACTGCAATTCAGAGGTTCCATCTCACTGTCACACTCTGGTTTTTGCTGGCACAGTATTCTCTCCTGCTACATCTCTTTATCAAACAGCCTCATTTAGCCTCCTAGGAACCCCGTCTGCCTCCACCCCATACACACAATCACAGAGCATCTCTGCTTTCGTTCCACTGATGCTCAAGGACATAATCTAAAATAAGCTGAACCACTGCCAATTTAACCTGGATGCTTTTCTGTCTGTGCCATATCGAGAAGCCAGTATTTTCCTCAAAACTTTTGCTAATTCAGGTGGAAACTCGGCATTTCTCTGTTTTAACTTGCAGATTGCCAACATACTTCCAGAACAGAAACTGAGATATTGCAGTCTTTCTTATGGTTGGATCAAGTTTATCATTACAGAAGCTCTTAATTCTGAAAACCATGCCTTTCGTTTTTTGTGTCTCACAGAACATCGTCACCATTTGGTCTGTGTAAGATACACAGAGGATAAGAGGATACATGCAACAGGTAACACTTCCCTAGATGTCTGCAATTTGGATGCATACAGCTTCCATATGAGTTTGCTATCATTAGTGCTTCAGCACAGATGATTTTCCAGTTACTGAGGACTATGCTGCTCCTCAGTTAAGTTCAGTTCTGAAAGGTTCAGGTTGGCCAAAGCTCTTTGGATGTTTCTATTATTAGTAGTAAACTTTTGGTTCACGTCATTCAAATTCCTGATCACTTCAGCTCATATTAGCAGTAGAAACCGACATTTTTAAGCTGGGCTTCAAAATATTCTACAATCTGCGGCAACATCTAATAAAACAAAGGTTTAGTTTCTACTCTTTTGACTGTACCACAGTGTTCTCATATCAGCTTTTTTGCAAAGATCTGCTTTGATACTACAGCTAAGCTGAACTAACAGGTGATGCTGAAACCAGAGGTTTGCTCCTCTTGTTGTCCCATCCCTTCTTCCCAGGCTATACGCTTCCACCATTTCCCTTGTGCTGCACACCAAGACTTGTCTAAACCCACAGCAGCCAGATGAGGCACCTCAAATGGAAGAAAAAGGAAAAGAAGATGGCAAACCAGGACCAGCCCCTCTGGCAGAAACAAATAACTAGCTCAGGCTAGCTGCTAAAGGCACATTACATTCTTCCCAGAATGTGGTTTGCCATTCCCACGCCATTCGGCATACTGAATGCTGCTTTTATTTTTTTCCATTTCTGTTCAATGCGAATACCACTTAGCTTGTCTCGTTTATCAATATCATGAGTATCACCACCACAAAAAAAAAAAACCACCAAACCCAAATACTTTCCTGCAGCAGGTACTAATGTATACGTTACCAGTTGGTACTTCTTTCAGCTGCTGGCCTTGCAGGCTGCCTTCCCAGAAGGAAGAACTTGAAGGTTTTACCACTAGGTAACTTGTTTTAGCAGACATGCACACATCACAGATTGCCTATGTGTTGGTGGACAGAGGGTCTTGGAAGGAAAGATAGCCAGACACCAATACCTGTTTCTCAAGAATGGGCTAATAGGAGATTAAGACAGGTGAAGTTTGCAGCTATCTTACAGTTTCCTTTACGCAAAATTGTGCATTAAAAGAAAACACACATGACACGTTCAAAAGGATTTAAGATTTGATTGCTTGCATAGAAAATAAGTTTCGTGCTACAATATGATCCGAATTGAAGATTATTTGAAAATCAAAAGAAGCATATTCATGGGAACGTTGGATAACCTGGCCTTATTATTCAGAAACTTGGATGACAAAGGTAGATGAGAACTCAAGATTTCCTTTATCTTGGAGTTTGTAAGGTTTGCTTCTGATCAGAGAGGCAAGAACACAGAGATTCACAGTATTCATTGTTCCATTCTTTGACACCATTTGAGATTAGTTTCAGAATTATTAATGTGAAACGCAATATTACATTATGTACAGAAACTAAATTGTAAAAAAAACCCAAACCACTGAGTTTTTAGTTCCTAAGCAAATTCCTCACTTACGTATAGCAAGTTATATAAATGATTTTTTTCTTTGTGATGCATTACATATTTATTCACAATTCTTAAAATTACCAGGGGCAGGGGAGAATCCACAAAGCTAAATATCCTCACAAGAGTAACTATGCAAAGGAAACATAGCTGAAAGTAAAACTTGTCCATCAAGATTAAAGCTCTGTTGCCTTTAAGCATGTTATTACATTGTCTTGCTCAAAACGCATCACATGCATACCGAACAAAAAAAATAATTAAAAAAATCCAAGAAACCTCTAAAGATTTATAACTGGAACTTACACTTCCAAGAAAGCCAGTTGTGAAGTGTATTGATGGATACTGAATGTTCACTAATGTATTACCTAAATTTATAATTTCAAAAATGAGACATGCTTTGAAGCTTCAGAAGTTGACAGCCATTATCTTGAATGTCCAGATAAATTTTTAACTAGAAGCTACGAGTTTTCTAGTAGCAAATTGTTCCACAGGGTTACTGTCATGGCCTAGGTGAAACACAACTGAACTCAAGAAGTGAAACTGAAAATGTTCCCAGTTATACATAATGTAATCCAGTAAGTTTCACTCTTTAAGGCCATATTAATGGAAATGCACAGCATTAGATTAAAAAAAAAAAAAAAAAAAAAAAAAAAGGATACCTACCCAACGCTCCACGGACCCCTTCTACAAATCAAAAAAACAAAGTTACATGAGCTGTAGAACACCAAACTCACCTGTCACTCCTCTTCTAATGTATCTCAAAGGCATCTCTGCAGCATCCTACATAAATGTGTCCTGCCCACAGCTTGGAAGGTTAGCATAATTAGAGGATGCATAAATGCAACTATGGCCAAAGCACAGATACACCTGAGCTAATTTAAAATTAGCTACTCTGTGTATCAGAAGTATTCCAATTTACGGTAGCACTTGATTGCATCTAAATTAATTTACCAACTTTTCTATGATTCTCAGCAAGCCTTTTTTTTTTACCCAAGTCTCTGTTTCTCAGTTAAAGCTAGTCCAGGTTTAATGCTAAAATTCCCAGAGCAGATTACACAGGCCTTGTTCAGAATATGATTTTTTACTGCAAAGGCCTTTCCTTAAATAAATAAATCAAGAGCACTTTCCCAGAGAGCATAACTGCAACAAAGGCATGAAGAATATGGGGTTATTTCAAGCAGCAAGGATGCAGTCTATTTAGCTCTTTATGGATTAAAGTCCACAACTTAAATTCAAACCAAAAAACAGCATCCAGCTAGTGAAGATTATACTGCTTCAGTTCATAGTCAAGCAAAGTACAGCAATATCTTTCACCAGAGACAAGATAATCTGTGTAAAACCATAGTAAGAAAATGGCTGGCACTTTACTGACACTTCGGGCAGCATACAAAGCTTGTGCACTCAACATGGGTCAAAGACCAAGTGATGTGATGCAATCCAACAGCAGGAGGAAAGACCTTCCTGTCAATAAGCTGCCCAATGTTGACAGCTATATTATAGCTTATTTTGCAACATAGAGGTCAACTACCAAGGTTAATTTCCAAAGATGGCAAACATTTTCTCAATTGCAAAACAGAGGTTGGGGAAAAAAAAAAAAAAAAGAAAGAAAAAAGAAATGGCTTGCCTAGAATTTCAGGAGAACTCAGTGACACCCAGACAACAGCCTGGAATGATGCCCAAAATCTCTAGCTCTTTCCTAGCCTATCCATCTTCAGATAGCATTTCCAAAAGACAAAATGCTCCTGGGTGGCATGCTGGGCCACCACACTGTGGATTTTAATTGTCTCTTGGATGTCTGCCACAGGGATTTGGGGTACACTTGACAAGTCATAACCTAGATGCATGGAAAACTTGGGACATATTCATACTTTTCACACACCAGGAACTTAGAGGATGGTCCAGCAAAATCTTCCGATATGAATTTGAAAAACAAAACATAGTGAGATGCTTTTCTTCCCTTTCAACAAAATGTCTATTGCTTCCCTTTCAAGGTCTTTTGATATAAAGTAGTATTTCAGCTCTCCTGATGGAGGGAGAGCATTATTCAACATAAAACACAGCAAAAATGAAGTTCCAAAAGATGTAGGCAAAGAACAGGGAGGCTGCTGATTTCCATGAATTATAACAAGTGGGTCTTGATAATATGAGCACAGTGTTAGACAGCCTGCACTTAAAGAATGAGTACACTAGAAAATAACTTTTCTGTATTTCGTTTTGTTCTCAGACATCACAGGCTGATTATTACGTATTTTGTAATGCTAATTTTTGCTATTATTTTTAATTTCTGCATTAGTTTTCAGTCCTGTTATGTTTTACATAACGTAATGTAGAGAACAGAAGGCTTTCAGGGTGGTTTGCTTGATGCCCAAAGGGAAAGGGAGGGGCCAGGCCTTCTATGGGAAGTATCGGAGCGGGGCAATTTTCCAAGATGACAACCATTGCAATCCAATCTTAAAAGCCAAATTCACATTTATTCTTGTTAGTTCAAGTGGGTTTAGGTAAAAGTAACATTCACATAACATATTAGAGGTTTTTTATATATATAGTCGAGATAGGAAAGTTTGGTTCTGTATTTTTTGAAACCAAACTCGCTTCCCTCAGAGACTTTGTTACTGTGTAATCGACTCGACTGAACTGGTATATCATCAGTTATGGCAGACCAAATTAAAGAAAAGATCAGAAGACTATTTATGGGGTTTCCATACAATTTTTGGTCTGCATCAATAAAAATAATAATTACAGATATAAAACCTCCTTTTTTTTAATCTGCCTTGCAGCATAAAATAATGTTCTTACTAATCACTGTTATGCATTGCAGATTTAATCAGGCCCTTCCATTTGGCTCTGTGTTTAACCACGTAGGATAAAACCCACGTACACAATGGTTACAGCACTTCAAATTCAGGATTTATTTCAAATTCATATATAGAGGTAAAAAAAAATTTAAAAAGCTAGAAAAAGCAGGAAAAACAGTTCCGTAAGGTGAGGTTCGCTAGCAGAGTACTCCGCAATATACCACACAAATAGGATGTATCTATTTTTTCAAACTGAAGGCGTGCCAATTATAACACAGGCAAAAAATAACTTGTCTAACTTCATTTACCTATAGATGATATAACTGAACATTATCAAAAAAAAAGGATAAAAAGGTGCAAATCTTTCAAATCACTTAAATGTTTATGAAAATGTTTCATCTCCAAAAATTTCAAGTGAACAAGCTGAAAAAAAAGCCTTCCGAAATGACACGGTTCTTACCTACCTTGTCTTTCTTATCTTGCCTGGCATATGGAAAACATGGAATTACGGCAGTCACTCTGGAGGATGATGCAATCTTGCAAGCATTGATCATGATGAGTAGTTCCATTAAGTTGTCATTTATTTCTCCACAGCCACTCTGGATGATATACACATCTTCTCCTCTCACACTTTCACCAATCTCTACACTGAAAGAGCAGAAGATGACCATTTAAACACTTGAATTACTGGAAAAGCATTATTAAATAATAGAAAAACCAGTTTTGTTTTATTAAACTTTCATAGGTTTCTGCCCATTTAGAGTAAGATTTTTTTATAGCTATTTGGATAACTGTCCCCTTGATACAAAGTCTATTTCAACATAAGTTTGTCTAAAATTTACTTCAGCCTAAATATGGTCTTGGTAAGGTCAGCACAAACCAACGTGCAACTGACGCAGCTCATATTGTGTACTAAATTTGATATTCCTTTTTTTTGTTTAGTCTGTATATTTGGTGTCCTTGACATGTCCCAAGGAGATGACCATTTAAAGAATAACCTAGATGATAAGCACAGAAACAACAGAGCCAACTTTAGAGCATTAAATACTACCTGCATCAAAATACCACCTTAAAAAAGGGCAATTATTTTTCTATGATAATCAAGTTCTTACTAAATTTGAGAAACTACTGCATTTTGGAAGAGAGAAGTATCAAACCACCCCAAAACCAGAAATCTGGTTAAAATTTACACCACGATGGTCAAGTAAAGTATTTTTTTAGAAAATAAAATCTTATAGAAAAGCTAAGAGGGCTGCTCATCAACAGCTCACCATGCCTCAACAGCTCTTGCATTGTGCCAGTTCTCCTTGCTCTAACTGTGCTTACATGATTTGGTTCATTGTGATAGTATCTAAGATAGCATCTTATTTTATTCTTCCACAGATTTCAAGGCAAATTCAGGCACTGATCACTGCTCACATCAAAGAATTTAAAAATTAAATAGAGCTTATAAATAAACACCAAAATTAAAACAAAGAGTGGAATGTGGACTCTTTTTCAATTCTAGACCCAAGCAAGAGAAATCTACTGCTAAAAAGAACCACACTAACTTTTCGCACCTGTTACTCCAAAACTTAACACATAAAACAAGCAGAATAACCGTCATTTTTCTCTGAATCCATGCACAACATACAAGAAACACATAGACTTCCTAAATAATGAGGCGATCAGACCTTTCAAACCCATGCTCTACTATGTTTGTCTTAATTATTAAATGCTAAAATATCTTGGGCCTTTATTAAAAAGGTTGCATCTTTACACAAAACACTAATAAGCAAAGATTTCTAGCTGGAAACCATACAAATGGCCCAGACGTGGGTAGAATAATATCTCCGATGGGTCCTTCAATGCTGTGTGTTGACTTGTTCTAGTCAAACAGTCTGAACAACTTTCGTTTATCAGCTTTCAGGGTGCTGTGTAAGACTCAGTAGCTTTCTGTAGCTACAAAACACAGAATGGAATTTACTGCTTAAAAACATCTTAATGATATGCAAACATTTGATTTATTACCATCAAGATAGTTGAGACCATGCTCTCAGCTCCCCTGTTTGACTCCTCTGCAGTCCCAAACAAGCTAAAAAAACATCCTGTCTTAATTTTTCTCCTTAATGAAAACATTTTTTGCCTAAGAATATTACCAGCAGGATTGCTTAAGGCCAAAAGAAAGCAATCCATCTAGCAAACGTCAGGTTCTCAGGAAGGACAGAGGTGGTCAGGGACAGTGTCATCTGCAGATATGTCAATGTAAATCCAGGAAACCTTTTGGAGGCTTTCATCACGGCACAAATACACCTTTTGGTTTTTTTTTGGTTATAAACCTGTTACTTCCCTGTTCAAGTTTTTGATCAACTGAGTAGGGCTGTTCAGAGCAAATTGTTTTGATCAAAATATTTTCTTAGTTTGTTTTCCTTTTTGGAGCTGTAAAGGTTTTGGTCAACATGACTTAAATTCAGCATGACACTAAGCATATTCCATAATTAGAAGAACTGGTCAGGCTTAATCAGAAGCCCTACCAAAAACAGTCCTAGTGTTGGAATATCAGAGTTCCACTTCCCAGAAGAATAAACCAAACCAAATAGATAAATAGATAAACCTGTCATTGCTTCTGAACACACAAATCCAGCTCTAAGTAAAGCATCTACCCACTATCTTACAGATGCAGCCTCAATCATCATTACAGATTCATGGTTATTATTATGAGGGCTCTGAAAAATGCTAATTGCCACTTGACTCCACACTTAGACCTGCTTAATAACAAGTGTTGTCACATACTGCACTTTGGAATAGGTCCAAAGAAGACCACCACCCCATGCAAAAGCTCTATGGCACTTCTTTCAACCCAAGACTGCAAAGTTACACTCCAGTTCTGGAAACTAACCTAGGAGCCATTACAAAAAAGAAGAAAGTAAAAACAGACTAAGAAGAAAACACTGTCAGTTTTCAGGGGAGAATGTTATTGGAGTGACAAAGGAGGGCAGAATAAGATTTTAGTACTTGGGAAAGAAAAAATAACAACTCGTTTCATAGACATGTTATGTCATAGGAAAAAAAACTGCTGAATGACAAAAATACATGATCTCAATGTTCATTATATACACAAAGAGCACTGAAGTAAAACACTTGGAGTTGTTTTGGTCCTTTAAAGAACAGTCATTTCTACGCACACTGCTAAAAAATAATAGGTTTCAGAAGGTCAGGGAATATACTTTGAGATAAGTATAGATCTGGCTAATACAATGGATCTGAAGTGATGCTTCTTCCATTGCCATTAACTACTATCTTTTCAATGATCTTGGGCTAGCAATAACTTTTTCAGCTTGTAAACAACTCAGAAACTGAAAATGCTACTACCTTCTCTCTTGGTGCATTTGAGAAATTTTTGTTTATGCTTTTCAGGCCAGAATAATGTATTTATTTGGCACACAGAAATGTGAATGTATGTGTATATGTATAGAGAAATATCTTTTCTAGTAGACATAGAAGTTATGTCAATAAATCAAGCCTAAATTAATACTTGCATAGCAGTCAGGAGTAACCCAGCTAAAGGTGCCAGAGAATAGCATAATGTAATTATTGTGCAAAGATCATCTTCCAATCAACTGGAGACAGCTGTGCACCAGATGAGTATCTCTTATTGTATAGCTTCTCAAAGATTGGTATTGAGAGGTATTATGTAGACTCAACCAAGACACACAGCTGCCTACTTCACCTTCAGCAAGACACGCAGTAAAAGACAACCTGTTATTGTGTTGCAAGTATTCCATCAGACATGGTCCATACTAACCACAACAGGGTTTGGAGGTGGGTTTTTTGTTGTTGGCTTGGTTGGTTGGTTGGTTTGGTTTGGGGGGGGGCGCAGTTTGGATTTGTTTGTTCTTTTGGGGAGGGTGCCCTTTTTTAACACGTTCAAATATAAACAGGCAAACAATAAGAGGATATAAACTATAGTGTCAGGTATCTGAAGTATTGTACCTCAAATAACTATTAGAGAACACGAAGCTAACAGCAGTCAAACTGTGACAGTAACCTTATTAACATTACTAATAAATTCCACTTAGACCATCTATATCATGACCTAATTAACTGCTCGGGGGGTTATTTAAACAATTTCACATAGTGAGGACACAGACGAAGGACACAAGAACAAGCTCTTGCCTCAAGATTACCAGCTCTGTTTGTTTTATGCAATTTAATCAAATCCAGCTGTTTGGTAACACTCAGTTTAAATAAACTTCTCATTCAAGAACAGTCAACAGAGCCTGTACATTAAAAGCCCTGACACCACACAACTGTGTTTTAAAGTGAAAATCACAAAATTAATAGCCCACAACAATAATTAACATTATTTGAGCCAGTTGCTTGGAATCCACAAGCAGAGTGCTCTAGCTGGGAAAGATCACATAAGACAGGCCATGATGAAAAAATGAGTTTGAATGTTGGTATCTGCCTTAATCTTCCAAAGGGTGATTTGACAGTTCAATTTAATAAGTAGAAACATGGACAGACTAATTACCATGAATTAACAATAAGGCTGAAAATCCACTTATGCTACAAACATATTTCAATGGCTGAAGCATCCATTAAGCAAACTTCAAAATCAGGAGTAACACCAGGCTGAGCTCCTTCCGAGCTAGATTTATAGTACACTCCCAAGAGAACTTATAGAAATGGGAAATTTAAATTTGTACATCCTAACTAGAAAAAAAAACATATAACAAAAACAGTTGTGGGGAAGCAGAGGAATAAGTATGCAGAGCCAGACTAAAATGGTAAATAATGTAAATCCATAACTAGGATCCTGTTCAAATCATGCTCTTAAAAAGGGCTCTACGTACCTTTTTAAATAATAGCAACAGATTGTTTCTAGCCATGCTTACAAGAAGTAAGATTTCTCAAGCAATTTCAGTGCCATTAAAGTAGAAGTGTACTTCAGGCACTTTTAATAACCAAAGAAGCCAAAATTTAAGGTCTAGAGTCCTCATTTAGTGTGCAAAAACAATCAATATCTCAAAAGTGATTAAAAAAAAATCCATATGCTGAATTTGCAATTCATTGAAACCCAGCCAATGGAAAGCACTAAGCAGAGGGGTGTGTTTGACCTTTGGAAACACATTTTGTGAAGTAAAGCCTTTTAGCCCAAGACTTCCAACTTCTTGGGCAAATATCTTGACTGCCGTGATGTTATACAATGAAGTAGGTACCAACAAAGCCCAAAGCAACAAAGAAACCATAAAAATGCCAGAGCTGGTTTTAAGTCTATAGGTATCCCATACCTCCTGGCACCCACGGTCTCCTCTCAACTCTAGTCACTTCCACTTTGATTAACAACCCCCAATTAGATCTTCATTGACAACTGCCCCGTCCTGATGGTAAGCACTGGCATGGTAAGCACCACAACATGGGAAGTATCTTCTCGCCCTCCACTCTGGCACGCAGCCTGCCGCTGCAAGAGGAAAACACCTTCACTTGAACAGCTCTGGGTTGAGCCATGTGCAGTCCGAAAGGAACCCTCAGACATTTGGAAACAGAGGTCTAAGAAGCCTGAGCACATGCAGAGAGTCTTCAAAGGCTGAGTACCAAACTCTGCAGCTGAGGACGTGTGGAATCATCAGCCATTATTCACGTGGGTTGTTTTTTGTCTTTAA